TGACGCTTTACAATGATGGAACAGTTTTGAGTGCAGTAAGTTGTGTTGATAGCTTCAGCCAAAAAGGATAGAGGAAGACCAGCTTCAACAACCATAGTTCTCCCTGCTTCAATGAGAGTCCAATTTCTTCTTTTAGCAATTCCATTTTGTTGTGGGGTTCTAACAGCAAATAAATTTTGAGAAATTCCTGAATTTGAGCAAAACTCTTCTAGGGAGGAATTTTCTTAATTTTAGTGCTATGATCACTACGTAATTTCCTGACTTTATGGTCATAAAGAACTTCCCATTGCTTGATGAGTGATATGATTTCATCAACATCATGACTTTTCTTTCTCAAAAAGATCACCCATGTAAATCTTGAATATTCATCTACGATGACAAGAGTGAACTTGTTTCCAGATCTCGACTTAATTGAGACCGGTCTAAACCGATACATATGGTGGAGATGAAAGGTTTTGGTGATGGAGGAACATGACTTTGGCTTGAAAGATGACATGGTTTTATTTCCCTTTTCACATGCTGAACATAGTTTATCTTTAACAAACTGCATCTTAGGAATTTCTCGCACAAGCTGATTTCCAGAAATCTTTGATATGTTCTTGAAGTTCACATGAGATAGTCTCTTCTGCCACATCCAGTTCATATGAGATTGAGCACGATAGAAGAAGTAACGTCGAAGAGAATTGTCCATAGAAAACATGTCTAGAACAGAGATGTCATTTTTTCGATTTGCAGTCAGTTTCGTGATATTCTTTTGATCAACAACTTTTCCTTCCTTCTTGTTGAAATGAACTTCATAGTCAGTGTCAAACATTTGGCTAATTGAGATGAGATTGTACTGAATACCTTTTTACGTGTGAAATATTCTTGAATATAACATAATTGCATTTAATAGTGCCATATCCCTTTGTAGATCCCTTGCAATTGTCTCCGTACGTAACAGTTGGACCATCCTTTTTTACAAACTCATCCATAAGTTACTTGAATCCCGTCATATGTCTTTAAAAACCATTATCTAAGTACCAAATATGTTCTTTACCTTCAAAAACTAAAATATACAATTAGTATACACTGACCTGTTTTGCAATGGGTCACTTAAGAGAGAATATGATAACATCCATCATGGAGACAATTTAACGAGTTTCCCTTTTTGTTCCATTTATTATTTCAAGTCATGATGTTGTCAACACAAACAAAGCTTTCTTCAAATGTACACTCGCTGACTCTATGAGAAGCATCACCACACTGGTAACAAACTCGCTTCCATAATTCTTTCTTTTAACATTAGAACTTTGATTTCTTTTGACAACATAACTTGAGGAATCTTGATCATTAGAGTTGAAAACTCTTGCTTTAGTTTTGGACCAAGGAGTGTCATCGGTGGTGTGTTCAGATGCCACTTGGTCATGGGACACAGATAAGATGGATGAATCATCTGAAGTATAGAACTTTGATTGACCTACATATTCAATTTTGATAACAGAGCACTGAGGAAACATGCTGAGAATTTCGTTTACGGAATGAACTTCACCATTGGAGATTGGAAATTTCAGCAAGATCTTAGTGTAGGGAAAACTTACTCATGATGAGGAGGTTGAAGAGAAGGGTCAATAGTAGATAAACAAGATATACATTTGGTATTTCCATTTGAGTAAGTAATACAATGAGTATCAATCAGAGTTTGATTTATATAATAGGTACTGACAAATCTAGTTTTAAAATCTTCTCGAGACTATCAGCGTAATAAAAAGTTTGTTTAGTCTCAACCTTTTTATTAAGGAAACAACACCTTCAATATCAGCACTAAGGATTTTCTCACACTGATAAGAAATTAGATTATTAATAATTCTCGTGACATTATAGTGGGAAGAAACCAGTTACTTAAAATAAGCTTAATGCTTCTGGCATGATCGGCAACTTTTTCTTTTTCAGTACAAAAAAAATTATTGGTTAGTGAGATACATGAGTTTTCCTTTTGTAAGAGAGAAAGGGAGTTCTCAGAAAATGAGAGTTTTTCTTTAAGATTTTTCAACTCAATTTTGAGAAAAGGTTTTTCTTTATTGGAAATAGAAAGATCAAAATGTATATGATCAAACATGTCGGCTTTTTCAGAAGAGAAGTAATTAAGAAAATTCTTTACCTGATACACGGAAGCTGAATCCCAGTCCTGAGATATATAGTCCTTAGCGGCTAGAGAAAGGTCAATGTCAAAAGTACTGATGTTGTCCCTTTTTGCTTTAGCATGAGACTCGATGATTTGAGCCATAAGAGACTTACCTTTTGTAACTTCATCATCAGAAAGTCATTCTCTGTCGAAAGCGGCTGATAAGTGGTTCATCATCTCTTGTGTAGTTGAGGATTTTTTAACCAAACGATAGACATGATATGGAAGAGAGTTTCCAATAGTAATCCACACTTTTACATCGAGATTTAAAACCTTTTTTTTCTTCCTTTTTGTATACTGGCACAAACTTTTACTTTGGTCCACTACCAGATGCATTATCATAGGAGAATCGATGCATAGAGACAATGGAACCCTTGTTAATGACCTCAAGCATGTCATAGTCCATGATCTCGAGAACATCCATAGTTTTTGATTTCCATGCAACAAAGTTGAGTTCATCGTAAGGAGGGATCTTGCCAACAACAGACGATTCGGGATTAAAGGATGTCAACATGATAACTTGAGTGTATCGTAAACCTGCTCTGATACCAATTGAAGGTTTGTATCGATCGGATACACTCGAGTGAATAACAAAGAATAAACAAACAAAGCAAAGATTAAACAGAAAAACGAAAGAACACGAATAATCACAAATAATCTTTCACTAAGAAAGAGGGTTCTCACAAAGATAACGAGGTCACAAAGACGGTCACCAATACTTCATTAGGGTTTCACCTTAATGTTGACTATATACGATTACAGTAATGAATATCCCACTAATTAAGGGATGTATACTAATCTATGTAAGTTTTGATCCTAATCACTAAGATTACGGATCACACATCTATTTTATATATACAATGTATAACTGCCTAATATAAATATATCACTAAGATTATAAAGTTCACGCTGACGCAGATAGGACTGGGACTGGCGTTGGGGCTGATGTTGGCGTTGGCACTGGTGGTCAACGTATAGTGTTTGGATCATCAAATCATAAAGTGTGACCTTACAATAATTTACAAGTCGGTTGTGCATTGGTATTTCGAAAACGCATCAGTAACATGATGTCATAAAACATAGTTTCATGCATGATTTGGTGAGTAAAAGATATAAGCATATAAGTCTAAGTTTATTTGTTCCTTTTTCCTTAATGGGAAAAGTGATATATTTGGACCCCTCGATGATTTCTTGTCGACATCTGAAGTGCTTGGCCAAGCCCGGACTAAATTGATGTGTTCAATTAGTAGTATGAATTTAGTCGTCATAAATCAGGAAATCGAGAAACAAAATCTTGGACTATGAGATTGATTTTGATCCATGTCTCATGTCCGTACAATATCTTGTAGAACGAAGGAATATTTGATAACTTATCTTAGGGCCAATGTCTGATTAAATCAGAGTTCGACAGTGGCTTTGGAAAACACTCTTTGTTGCTTGGTTATACTTGCAATTGTAGTTATAGACTTATCCAAGTGGGAGACTGTTGGATTAAGGTGTCTAAGCTCATAACTAAATTGGTATAAACTTGCAAATAAAATCAAAGTCCTTTTTGGGTTTCCCTCAAAACCAGAAATAACTAGAAATGATATTAGGAGAGAGAGAGAGAGAGAGAGAGATAACTGATTTGTTAATATATTATGTGATTAATATATTAACTAGAAATAGATAATTGATCAGTTAATTTGTTATGTGATTAATAAATTAATATGAGATCAATAGTTAAATAATTGATTTGTTAATTTATATGGCTTAGGAACGAAATTTCCTTTATCATAAGGCTTAGGAACGAAAACTATAAATAGGACCCCAAGACCAATAAAGTTTGTATATACCTTTATCATAAGGCTTAGGAAATTTCCTTCTCCTTTCTCTCTCTCTCTCTCCTCATCATTCTAGGGTTTCTAGAGTTTTGGGTACAAATCATTAGAGACACTAAACTTTTGGTGCTTGCTTTCCAAAGTTTTCACGAAGAATATTGGTGTGATTATTTGCTACAATAATCAAGAGGTATGTAATCCTAATCATATATATATTTCGATTATAATAGGTTACCATTAAGATTCTTGATGTTCATAGTTTAATGCTATCAATACAGAAAACTTAGATCCAAAGTTGGTTGTGAACTTAAGAGTTAAGTTATTTCGCCTCATGCATTGAATTATAACATATAAAACCCATCAATTCCAACATTCTCATTGATCATATAAGCGTTTACGTTTGTTTACTATAATGTTTACAAGTATATAAGAACCCACTATATAGGGTAAACGTTGGGTAAACCAAATATTGTAGGACTTATGTACATAACTCTTACTTATGAAAGACTCATGGGTTGTTTGGGTTGCTTATTTAAAACAACTTAGTGCTTATTAGTGTGGACACACCCCTTACATGTAAACAGTGGCGGACCTTAGTGGAGCATTGGAGGTCCCGGGCCACTGCTCAATTTACGGCACGTAATGTAATTTTTTTTTCTATTAGGTGCACTGGCTTGAAATACGAGGGACACCCTACTAAAACAATCTGCGTCCGCCACTGCATGTAAAAGAAATTGATAAACAAGATAACCTAGATAAAAGAAATTGATATTATACAATGAGACAATAAGTGGGTCCAATGATCCTAACCGCAATATATACCGAACTTAGTTATCATGTATTTATACACCAAATTTAATCTTAAATTTTCGTAGAATGAATGAAACAGTATATGCCACCCCTGACAATCTGACACGAAAAAAAAAGATATATAGAATATATAAAAAAGACGACTATGTCCCCTAAGTCCATACCCTATAAGTTCATCCGAAATCACTTAACATACCACTCAATCTTCTCAATTCTCTTGCAACCTTCAAGATGGCGGTCTTTTCCTATGTAGGAAAGAAACTAGAGCAATTTTGTAGTTCATGTTTCCAGGTCTTGAGCTATTTAAAGTTCATATGGTTTCTATTTATCTGTTTCTATCATTATGTCTTGCGTCGTATGAACCAATTTTTTGTCGAGGTATTCTATTTTCTCTCCATTTCTTTCTTGGGATTTCTTATCCTCAATGCAATGGATCCAAGAACCCCCTCTTTTACCCCTAGAAAATTTGACTTATTCTTCACCTCGGTCTCTGCATCCACTGTCTCTAGCATGTCTGTCATCGAAATGGAGGTTTTCTCAAATGCTCAACTCATCATTATGACAATCTTGATGTTCATTGGTGGTGAGGTTTTCACTTCAATGGTCGGACTTTTTCTGCGTAGTTGTTCACGTCATAGTTCTATAAAAGAGGGTGGTAGAGTGAATGACTCCATGAGTGATCTTGGCATCCCACCAAGCTTCGATGGCCAACTTGAGCTAGGCACCATAGCCAACCCTGAATTCGAGAGCTCAAAATCAGATATTTTCGACTTTGGTAATTATCATCCAGAAGCCGTGGATGATACAGACCAACTGAACTTTAAATCCATTAGATTTTTGTGTCTTTTAGTATTGGGTTACTTATTATTGGTCCAGATATTAGGCGTGGTGTCAGTTTTGGTATACCTAAATGTCATCTCAAGTGCCAAAAATGTACTTGAACAAAAGGGTCTAAAGACATTCACTTTCTCCCTCTTCACCATAGTTTCCACATTCGCCAGCTGTGGGTTTGTCCCAACTAATGAAAACATGATGATCTTCAGAAAGAACACTGGCCTATTATTAATCTTAATCCCTCAAGTTTTATTAGGTAACAATTTGTTCCCTTCAGCTTTGAGATTTTCCGTTTGGGCCATCGGAAAATTCAAAAAGAAAGCCGAAACAAGTTACTTGTTGAACAACACCCGTGAAATCAGGTTTCATCATTTCCTTTCTCATCTACACTCTTCGTTTCTTGTGGGTACGGCGTTGGTGTTTATCTTTGTACAGTATATATTGTTTTCCTCCCTGGAATGGAATGGTGATTCCATGAGTGGCTTGAACCATTATGAAAAATTTATCGGGGTTCTCTTCCAGACCATCAATACCAGACATACAGGTGAAACCATCGTCGACCTCTCCACCATTGCAGCTGCCTCATTGGTGTTGATCGTCGTCATGATGTTAGTTTCTCTTCCTTTTTCACTATCTCAACACATAAATGAAATTTATTAGATTCTATAGCATACTTAAATCATGCGTACCATTATTATAAATAAATCAATTTGTAAGGAGCGTTCATGCCGGCTCACATGGTTGCACTATATATCTAGTCGTTGCATTCATTTATTGGATCACATAAGAATATTATACGATGAAGTCAAAGTTGAATAAATACATACTCCAAAAGAAATTAATAAAAAAAACTCAATCATAAGTTTGGAATTAACGATTTTTAAAACCTGATGAATTGCTTTCTTAGGATATGTCATAGGATAATAGTAATTTATTAAAAACGCCTGATGTGGTTTTAACTGAAATATATATATTCGTTCGTTGAATTTCTATTGTTTTTAGAAAACTCATTCGAAGTCAAGTCACTGAAAATATATTAATTTGTTGAATTTTTCGTTAAAGCATTGTTAGCTAGCTAGAAGTCTAAGTCCCAATTTCTAGAAAGAATAAGATACTTTTGGGTGAATGAGATTCAGATAAATACCCAGTATTTTAATTAAACATATGCAATTATGCATGGTTCCCAGTTCGCACCCCTCCACAAGTGTTGAAAACTTTAATTATAATTACGACCAAAATTTTGTTTGTTTTTTCTGAGGTAAAATGGTTGCAGTCTGCGGATCATATCTGTAAACCTCTGCAGTAGAAGATGTAGACCAAACGTCTGCGGTATAAAAAAAAAAAAAATTTGTTTTTTAACCTCTGCAGACTGCTAAAATAAATTAAAAGTTAAATAAACTGTTTTTTTAACTTCGAAGTTATTTTTTTAATATTTTTATGACTTTGTTATAAATAATTAACAAATCTAGATCAACTTTTATGTATTATTGTATAAAAAGTGAAAATAAAATTGGTACGAATTAACGTATATATTTAATAAAAACCAATAATTTTGGTCGCAAAGTTATACATAAACATTGCAATTACGAATCAAAGAATTTGATACATGAATAGATGGAAATAAACTTCGATTTTTTCAATCAAATAAATTGAGATCGTACCATAAATATTTTGTCAAGAAATTGACAATACTGTATTAAATAATGTTTTATAAAATTTAACACAAAAAATATAAGAATATATTATTATTATTATTTTCATATTTATATAAGCAACTTTAACGACTATTATTTTGATAAATCTTTATTTATAAATTCGTCAAAAATATCATGTTTGTGTCGTCAACCAATTTTTTTTAAGTATTGTAACTTTTTTTTTCAAATTTTTTATCATTAATAAAATTGGAATAAATATAAATTAAAAAAAAATAAAGATATATGTGTTTTTCTAGGCTAAAAGATGTCTGAAGATGTTAGATGACTCCTGGTCCACATCTACGCCAAGAAGAGGACGCACATACATTTTTAGGTCTGCAGTCTTCAAAAAAACAAATAGTGTGCAAAGTCTAATGTCTGCGCATGGTCTGTACGGCGCAGACAGAAGAGACCAAGAATATATGCAGACAAAAAACAAACAACACCTTACTGCTCCGGTTAATTAAAATCAATTATATTTATGCTAGAATATTGGTATTATTAAATAAATAATAGCGATCAAAATAACAAACGGCTTCATCTATGTCACATTCTATCATTTAGAGAGTTTGTTTAACCCTACATAATTAACAGTAACACATTTTAAGTTCAATATGTTCAAAATAAAGTATATTTATGTCTAGCGTTTTAAGGCTAACTAGAAACAAAATAAAGTATATTTATGTCTAGCGTTTTAAGGCTAACTAGAAACAGTTTTGGGAACCAGGTATCTTCCTCCATATACATCGTTTTTGCCGTTATCTGGAAAACAAAGTAGCCAAAGAAACAGTGATCAAAGAAAAAAGAAAAGCAGAAGAGTTTTGTTGGAGAATATCGTTTGCTCACAACCCGCATATCTTGTTATCTTTGTCATCCTTGTTTGCATAACCGAGAGGAAAAAGATTAGAGAAGATCCCCTCAATTTCAACGTTCTCAATGTTGTAGTTGAAGTCATAAGGTCTCTCTCTCTCTCTCTCTCTCTCTCTCTCTCTCTCTCTCTCTCTCTCTCTCTCTCTCTCTCTCTCTCTCTCTCTCTCTCTCTCTCTCTCTCTCTCTCCCTCTATATATATCTATATATATATATATATATATATATATATATATATATATATATATATATATATATATATATGTGTGTGTGTGTGCGCGGGGGGGGGGGGGATCCGTATCTGGTGAAGATTGTAAGGACAATTGTTCATCACCACTTTACGCAATATTTAAATATGACGCAATTAAATATGACTCTTATCCATGGAATGAAATACTACTTTACGCAATATTTAAATATGATGCAATTAAATATGACTCTTATCCATGGAATGAAATACTGATATGATCACATATCATACACATCAATATATCATTATTTGACTTTTTTTTTCTATTTCAATTTTTTTTTATCTATTTATTTGAATTTTTTAATGTAACCAAATTTGGATTTACCTTTTTGTTTGTTTTAACTCCTTGACTTTTTTTAAATGTTTTTAATAAATTTTTAAACTTTCTGTTTTTTTTTAATTTTTTTTATTGTTGTGAATCGTAGGTCGGTTCGAATTTTGAACTTTAACATTGATAAAAGTTATTAATCATAGAAGATTAAGAATCATAATGTTTTTAAATCATATTATTTTAGTTTATAATATCTTTTAATTATAATATTTTAAATCATAGTATTTTGTATTATATCATTTTTGGATTACATGATTTTGGATTAAAAAATATTCAATTTAATTAAGTTTTTGTTCATAACAAATTTTTGATAATTATGTTTTTTTAATTTTTTAATTTCGAATCATAAAATATACAGTAAATAATCATAACATATTCCGATCAAAGTATTTTTTGAATCATAACAAACTAATGATTATAAACATATTGAATCGTCTCATTTTGAATCATATTATGTTCAACATTATTTTTATAAAAAGTTGAAATCTTTTAAAATAAAGTGTGATATATCTAAACAACCTTATTTAGATTTTTTTTAAGTTCATAATATATGATATATACAAAACATATAAAATGATTTTTGATTTGGAGAATTTTCATGTCATGTTATTTTTATAAAAACTTGGTTTCCTTTAAACAAAATCCAAATACCATTTTCGAAAAATATCTTTTACAGACTCACTAAAATAATAAGATGAATACCTCATTAATTTGCCTTTTTATTTTGGAGGGAAATTTTTTTGTTATATTTTATAAAAACTAATATTTCTTAAATTTAAAGTTTCATATCAAAAAAAAAATTATTTTGGAAAATATATTTTCAAACAATTTATAATATATGTTATATAGCAAACCTATAAAATGATTTTTTTTTTATTTGAAGAACATAAATTTCTACGTCTTATTGTTTATAAAAAACATGTATTCCTTTAAACAAAATGTAGTAATCTTAAAAGCAATATTTTTGAAAATTTTATCTAAAAAGGAATAAATATATTTGCGTAATCATACATATTAATTATTCATATATGATTATCATGAATAAAAAATCTTAAATAAACCTCTCTCTGTGTGTGTCTATATATATATATATATATATATATATATATATATATATATATATATATATATATATATATATATATATATATATATAGTATTTATGACTTTAATGTACAAAGGTGGTGAAGTTCTTATTTAATGTTGTCCCGTACAAAGAGAACTTAATTTAATGTATATTAAAAAAATATTTAGACTTTATATATTGTAATTCCATATACTTGAAAGTTTAACTTAATATCATGAACTTATAATTTGAATATTTATAACTGGTTGCAGTGCGTATGGAAATGTGGGGTTCACGACTGGCTACAATTGTGATCGTCGGATTAAACCAGATGGAATTTGTGAAAATAAATGGTATGGGTTTTCGGCGAAATGGAGTGACGAAGGGAAACTAATTCTTATTGTAGTTATGTTTTGTGGTAGGCTTAAGAAGTTTAACATGAATGGTGGAAAATCATGGAAGCTATTGTAAATTTGAGTTTCTAACATGCTTAATATAATTTCTTGGCATGGAGCATAATTTGTATAATGTTTTTTCGTTAATGTAACACATGAATGATAATTTTAAGCAGGTGATCAAAATGATGGATACGAACTAACTTTTACTATTTCTTTATTTGAAGTAGCCATTTTAGGAGTGAACACATGTGCCCAGAAACCAAACTGAACCTAACTGAACCTAACCGTTCTGACATCTGATAGACTTTCTGCTTTGGTGTTCGATTTTGTAATTTCCTGGATTTCGGTTTCAGTCAAAACGGTTCCCGGTCCTTTCAATTCAATTGTGGTTGGTTTTCAGTTCGAAGTGGTTTTTCGACCAATATGCTCACCCTCTTATTGTATATGGATTTAATCTATATACATATATTTATCATTCATTCCTAATTCGGTTTTGACATAAACTGAAACCAAATATATACATTCGATTTGCACAATATCACAATTCAGTTTAAGTCCACATCACGGTGTATCTGGTCCAAAATGGTTCTTGGACCACTCTGACTCTATCCAAATTTTATGTTTTTCATAGGATTTTAGAAAACCTATGGATTTGTAGGGAACTTGTGAAGTTATGAGAATAACCAAGAAAGTGTAAAATTATTAACATGTATTTCATAAGAATATTATTTAGCCTATAATTTAGGAATGTATTTTATTGTAATTATCTTTATTCTATTTTGCACATAATTTCTATTGTAAATACTTAATGAATATCCTCCACATTTATGCAACCTTTTATGGTATAAGGTTAATCCACATCCTCACCTAACCCTAATCTCCATCGTCACCAACTTTCCTTGTTGCCGATGAATCCTCCCCGCTCTATCTACACTTCTTCACGTGCTTACTATCAAGATTTCTTCCTAAAACTACATCTGATGAAAAATCTTACTACTTCTCTCTTACCAGAAGCTTACTGGTTATGTTGATGACTCCATCACACTGATGCCCCCACCATCAAAACCACAAGTCAATGCCCTTCCAATCCTATCGATTCTACTTGTCAAGACGGTTATCAACATGTTCATATCCTTTTCTCATTTTATTTTTCTAAAGAATTTATAGTTGAAGCTCTTAGTCTATAAAATGTTTGGTTTGTATGGCGTGAAAATGTTACATGACTATTTACTCCGCCTACAAAAAGGTAACTCCTTTGTTGATGTATGGTCGCAAGTTCAAGAATGTATGTGATCAACCGTCAAACATTAGTCATTATTTTAATGATATGGTAAATGCATAAGTGAAACACACATCACGAGGGTAGTTTAAGATTAATCTTTTTTTAAAACGTTTGTTTTTAAATACAAATCTTTATAGTTTTGATTGCGGATAATAATGGTCTCACATTTATCAAAAAACAAGTTATAGATTTAAAAGAACAAGGTAGCATCAATACATTACCATAACATAGTTCAGGTGTACCACACATCTCTTGGCCTTATCCTTGCTACTCTTCAAAGACTCATATCTCTTCAATCTAAGCACAAGTCAAAATAAGTTAGGAAATAAAGTACCTAGTGAAAATACTTGAGTTTAATGCATATTGAGTATGTAATGATGACAATAATTACACTTGAATCAAACCTCCAAAATGAATATAATTATGGATTAAGATATCTAAGCTCATAACTAAATTGATAATATTTTATATTTAAAAGCAAAGTCATTTTTCGGTTACCCTCGTAGCTAGAAATAGTATAGAATGAATTTTGGATCAAGTGGAAATAATTTGTTAATTCTTAATTTATTATGGTTAATAAATTAATTAGAAATTGTAATATTTAATTTAGAATTGATAAAAATTAATTTGGAATTAATTTTGGGTCAATTGGAATTAAGTAAAGGTGTAAGGACTGAGTTGTAATTGTTTAATAGTTGAGCAATGGAGAGGTTCCAAAACAATCCTAGGTTGGACGGTTTTGGACTTTCCTAAAAGGGATTCTGGAAGCCTCCAATTGATATATGAAAACTGGATATTATAACTGATTTGATATAATATTCTTTAATGTTCAAATTTGGGGTTTCCAGGGTTTTCCATGCCGCTATATAAAGGGTCCTAAACCCTCATATTTTCGGCCATCTCTCTCTCTTGTGAAGGCATTGTCAAAAATATTCACTCTCCTCCTTTCTCCTCAAAAGTCTTCTAGTTTCTATGGTTTGGGTGTAACTCATTAGAGGTATCATACTTTTGGTGCTAAGATTTCTAAAGTTCTACAAGGGAATCAAGAGTATTATTTGCTAGAACAATATCAAAGGTATGTAACCCTAACTTTTAAATTTCGATGATAACATAGGGATCTTATACTTTCATAGTATGTTGTTATTAATGTAAGTACCAAAATCATTTAGGTTTATATGTACCCTTAAGTGTTTTAAGTCAATTTTTTTCGCGTAGACTTATAACCTATGAATTTCATCAGTCGTATCTAAGTCATATGTTGCATTTAAGAGTTCATGGTACATGAAAAGAAAAAAAAACAAAAAATCAAAGGACGTGCCGTGTTTTTCGATTTTTTTGTTTTTCTGTTATTTTTATACCTAATTCGAATGAAGGGTGTCTTCTAGTGATTATCTAGTTTTTGAACTATTAAAATCCAAATTTTAATATAATAGATATGGTTAAAACACTAATTCGAATTTTGAAGAGATAAATAAGTAAACATAACTTTTAGTTATAAGATAATTAAATAACATTAACTTCATAGATTTTGATATATTAAATAATTAAACGTTAATCAAAAGATAAATATAAAATCTATAATTGGATTATATGATTTAATTAACTTAATTAATTAATTAATTAAAAGATACAGATAAATCATATAAGGGTTTAAAAGATTAATTAATTAATAGTTAATTTAAATAATTAATATTTAAACCTTGAAATATTTAAAATTTTAAAATACATACACCATATACATATAAACTTTAATACTTAATGTATAACTAAAAGTCAATCAATTCAATAGTATGACTAATTCACGAAGCCACACTATAAGAGATCTAAAATGAAACAACCTATAAAATGACCATTAAATGGAAGTCCTCTTCACCCTCCACTTGTGGTGGATGATCGTTAGCCGAACGGTTTTGATAGGACATAATGAAGATTAAATGTATAATATAAAGTAATAGAACCTTTTATAAAATCTCACTCTATTTTACTTTAGGAAATATATGAAATGTATGATAATCCATTAAAACGCACATCATTTCTTTATTAGTCGTTAGTATAACATGTGTGGTTAACCGGAACATTAATTTGGGACTATAAAGATGAAATGATGGAGTACTCGAATTTATGATTGTTGATGGAGAGTGTGTGGTTAAGCTGCACATCAATATGAGATCATAAACGACCTCGGGTATGTCATGCGGGTTGGCATAGTTATTCACATCTTGTTTGTGATCTTCGGCATCCCAGTCACAAATAGAAGAGCATAATCTGATATTAAACATGCCATTGTTAAGACTCAATGAATCACCAAGATCTAGGAATTTCATACTAGAATGAAATTGCTCATGTGCCTTACCTACCTAAATAAATTCATAATTAGATTGCAACATCCCTCTTCTCATTTCGAATTGTATTTTGGATCCTAGCCTTGAATATTAATTTGGGTTAAAATATTAAGGAATCATATCAACTAACTAAAAAGTTTCTCTTACTATAGATGTTTAGAAATGGTTATGCTTCTACTTCTCAAAATTCTACTCCTAATTCAAATTTCACTCTCGTATCTTGATCTTGTCAAAGGAAAAGTTCACTGGTCCAAACTACATGGACGGGATGGCCAACTTAAAGATGACACTTCGTTATGAGACAATAAATATGTTCTTGATAGCCCTATTCCTGAGATCGATGAATTGACTGTTTCTCGTGAAGAACTAACTCTTCATAAACATCATATTGACGATGCCACCAAGGTCGCTTGCATCATGATTGCAACTATGGTACCTGACCTTAAAAAGTCCTATGATGACTACTGGCCATAGGAAATGAACTTGGCTCATGCTAAAATGTTTCACAAGAAGGCAAGACAAGAGCGGTATAAAGTCTTCAAGTCCCTGAAGCATCTAATTCAATGGACCTCGCCTAAGGATTTTCATTAGGATGGACACTATTGCTAAGGGGACTCCTCAGCGATATATGTCCGTAAGGCAACCATGAGGAGGGATGGAATACACCGGTGAACACATCGTTCATAAACACCTACAGGTTGCGAGCCTGATAGCGTTCCACTAGACTGTCTAGAATAGTCTGTGGTCGTCATCTATACTCCGCTAGATGACTGGATCATCGTAAACATCGAGACCTCTCATCATTTTATTTCATCACACATCAACTATTTCATCTACCTATGTTCTACCCAACATATTCGTAGATATAAAATACATATACAATTTAAATAATTTAAAACATGTATAAATCATTTATCTAGCATTGATATCAGGAACACAAATAATATGCACACATAACACGTAATTTATATTAAATACTTCATATCTATGTGTAAGATGAAAGTAATTATTCACTCACTTGTTAAAGTGATGATTCCCAACTCGAGCAGCGCTTCGCTTCTAATAATTTATTTTCCTTCGACGAAACCTAGTATTATTACCACTAGTATTATTTATAGCACTTCTGAAATCCAAAAACCCTATGCAGCCCTTCAAACCAGATTCCCCTTTACCACAAGTAGTTAAAATATATTACAATAACACTTTATATTTTATAATACTTAGCACATATATTGTTTATAGGTTCATAATAACGACTTATGACTATAAATATAAGTTACACTGAAAACAGAATAGTGTAGCTTAACTTATCGGGTTTTTAGCGAAAACCGGGAAATTACGCAGGCAGAACTCTGACTCTAAAAACTTCTTTCGTCGTCTTTTTTGATGACTCGGAGTTTCTCTTTCGCACCCTAAAACTAGGAGAAATTGAACAAGAAATAAAAAAGGATCCTAGAGAGAGTTTAGAGGAATGGTGTAACAAAATATGAAGAAT